TCGTCCTCATCATGCTCATCAACATCATCATCATCATCAGCAGCAGCAGCATCATCAACATTATCAGAATCATCATCGTCATCATCAACATCATGATCCTCAGCATCATCCACAGCTTTATCATTGTCATCCTCATCATCATCAGCATCGTTGTCATCAGCAGTATCATAATCATCAGCATCATCACCATCAACATCATCTTCCTCATCCTCCCCTTCATCCCCATCGTCAGCATCAGCACCATCATCATCATCAGCATCAGCATCAGCATCGTCCTCATCATTATCATCATCACCAGCATCATCATCAGCATCAGCGTCGTCAACATCGTTCTCATTATCCTCATCATCATCCGCAGCAAAATCATCAGCATTATCATAATCATCCTCAGCCTCGTCACCATCATCATCATCATCATCATCATCATCATCATCACCATCAGCAAAGCCCTCATCATCACTAGCATCATCAGCAGCGTTATGATCAACAGCAGTATCATCGTCATCCTCATCATCATCAGCAGCATCATCACCATCATCATCATAATCGTCCCCATCAACATCAGCAACTTTATCATCATCAACATCATCATAAGCGACAGCTGCATCATCATCATCATAATAAGAAGAAGAAGAAGAAGCAACATCATCTTCATCAGCATCATAATCAACAGCATCCTCATCGTCCTCATCATCATCAGCAGCTTGATCATCATCATCAGCAGCATCATCACCAGCAGCACCATAATTATCAGCATCATCATCATCAACATCAGTATCATCATCATCAGCACTATCATCATCAGAATCCTCTCCATCCTCCTCCGCCCAGTCTCCGCCGCCTCCTCATCATCATCATCCTCATCATCATCAGCAGCAGCATCATCAGCATTATCATTATCATCAGCATCAGCACCATCATCATCATCTTCCTCATCCTTACCCTCATCCTCATCATCAGCATCAGCATCAGCAGCATCAGCACCATCATCAGCATCAGTATCAGTTGCAGCATCAGCATCATGATCATCACCATCAGCATCAGAATGCTCATCATCATCATCATCATCATCATTATCATCATCAGCATCATCATCAGTACCAGTATAATCATAAACATTATCAGCATCAGCAGCTTCATCATCATAAACATCATAGGCAACACATCATCAGCATCCTCCGCAGCAGTTCATCATCATCACCATCATCAGCATCATCAGCAGCATCATCACCATCATCATCAGTATCATGATCATCATCCCCAGCATCATTATCATCAACATCTTCATCGTCCTCATCAATATCACCAGTATCATCAGCATCGTCCTCATCATTAGCAGCTTCCTTATCATCATCATCAGCAGCAGCATCATCAGCAGCAGCAGCTTTAATATCATCATCAGTAGCATCATCACCAACATCATGATCACCATCATCATCAGCATCACCATCATCAGCAGCAACAGCATCCGTATCAGCGTCAGCAACGTCATCATCATCGTCGTCGTCCTCTTCCTCATCCTTATCCTCATCATCATCATCCTCTCCTTCCGTCTCCACCCAGTCTCAGCTTCTCATCCTCTCCTTCTCCTCCTTCTCATCATCAGCAGCAGCAGCATCATCAGCCACAGCATCATCATCATTATCATCATCAGCATCAGCATCATCATCATGAGCACCATCATCAGCATCCTCAGCATCCTCAGCATCGTCATCAGCATCATCATCAGCATCATCATCATCAGCATCGTCAGCAGCATCAGCATCATCTTCATGATCAGCATCAGCATGACTTACAGCATCATCAGCAGCAGCAGCTTTATCATCAGCAGCAGCATCATCACCATAAAAATCATGATGATCATCGTCATCATCATCGTCCTCATCAACATCATCACAAGCATCATCATCAGCAGCAGCTTGAGCATTATCATCAGCATCATCATCATCAACATCTTCATCAGCAGATCTATCATCAACATCATCAGCAGCATCACCATCATCATCATCACTATCATCAGCATCATCATCAGCATCGTCATCAGCATCAGCAGCAGCATCATCAGCGTCGTCGGCGTCGTCATCATCATCATCATTCTCTCCCTCCTCCTCCATCCGGTCTCGTCCTCCTCCTCCTCCTCCTCGTCATCATCATCCTCATCATAATCATCATCATCATCATCATCATCAGTTGCAGCATCATCATCGGCATTATCATCATCATCATCATCATCATCATCATCATCATCATCATCATCAGCATCATCATCGTCGTCGTCCTCTCCCTCATCCTTATCCTCCTCATCATCATCATCAGCATCGTCATAGGCAGCATCAGCACCATCATCAGCAGCATCAGCATCAGCATGATCATCATGATCAGCAGCCATAATCATCAGCAGCAGCATCAACATCATCATTATCAGCATCATCAGCAGCTTTGTCATCATCATCAGCATCAGCAGCATCATCATTAGCAGCAGCAATATCATCTGCAGCATAATCACCATCATCAGCATCATCATCATCATCAGCATCGTCATCATCACCATCAGCATCATCATCATCAGCACCATCATCACCAGCATCAGCATCAGCATCATCATCATCATCAGAAGCCATCATCATCAGCAGCAGCATCATCATAACCAGCAGCATCATTATCAGCAGCAGCAGCTTTGTCATCATCAACATCATCATCAGCAGCATCATCAGCAGCTTTATCATCATCATCATCATCATCATCATCAGCAGTAGCATCATCACCATCATCAGCACCATTATCATCATCAGCAGCATCATCAGCATCATAATTATCCGCAGCATCAGCATCAGCATCAGCATCAGCATCAGCATCAGCATCAGCAGCATCATCATCAACATCATCATCATCGTCTTCATCAGCATCATCCTCTCCCTCCTCCTCAACCCAGTCTGCTCCACCTCCTCCTCCTCCTCATCCAAAACATCATCATCATCATCATCATCATCATCATCATCATCATCATCATCATCATCATCATCATCCTCATCCTCATCCTCATCCTCATCCTCACCATCATCATCAGCAGCAGCATCATCATCAGCATTATCATCATCAGCAGCATCAGCATCAGCATCAGCATCAGCATCGTCATCATCGTCCCTTTCCTCATCCTTATCCTTTTCCTCATCATCAGCATGAGCATCATCATCCTCATCATCATCATCAGCAACAGCTCTATCATAATCAACAGCACCATCATCGTCAGGAGCATCATCAGCATCATCATCAGCATCATCAGCAGCATCATCATCGCCATCGTCATCATCAGCATCATCATCATCAGTATCAGCATGAGCTTTATCAGTTTCACAATCGTCATCATCAACATCATCACCAGCATCATCATCCATCAGCAGCACCCCCATCATCATCAACATCATCATCAGCAAAATCATCATCAGCAGCAGCTTTATCATCATCATCATCACCATTCTCATCACCAGCATCATCAGGAGCATCATCACCATCATCACCATCATCATCAGCAGCATCATCATCAGCAGCATCAGAATCAGGATCATCATCATCCTGCCTCCTCTCCTGCCACCATCCTCTCCCAAATGTCCTCCTCCTCATCATCGCCTGACGGTGTGCCGCGCCGCGCCCTGCCACCTGGTTCGAGATACTTCTTGCGCGGAGGTCGGCATGGCCTGGGGGAACATGGCCATAATTACTAACAGCCTTAAGACGAAGCCAGAGAAGAACAAATTCGGGTGCGAATAAATCGGGAACCTCTGAGATCAGGCGGCTCTGGAGGATGTCTCGGGCGCCACGGCCTTCTCAGAGCGTTCCGGAACGCTCTCAGAGCGTTCTGGAACGCTCTGGTACGGATTCATCCTCGTCCAAACCCCGTTCGAGACTACCTCATTTCGCCAGCAGCCAGTCTCCGGACAGAACCTCTGGAATCCGAAACCTCTGATGCCCATGCGAATTTGCGGCGGGTGTGCGAAGATTCCGCTCCTCCCAAAGTTTCCCCGGGAGGTCCCTGGGGACATTCTGCCACAAAACTCTTTCGTAGCCACGGCTGGGCTCGAGCCCGCGCACGGGGGCTCACAACGAGATGGAGGGCCCCATCAGCCACACGCGGATCATGGTCCCTCGTGGCCGCACACGCAAAGGTTCGATCCCTCCTCCGTATCCTGCTCCTCCGCCTCCTCACCCTCGACCCGTCACCCCAAACAAATGTCGACATCCCTGCCGCTCGCCCAGAGTCCAGGCACGCCTGTGCACGCCAGGGGGGGATGGCGTCGGGCCCTGCGAGCCCGTGCCTCCCTCCGAGCACGGATCTGGCTGGAAGCTCGCGTCGTCAAACGAGGAACCCAGGAACGCCCAACTATTCGACGGCACTTCCCCCTCGCAAGACCTCCTCCTCCTCCACCTCCTCCTCCTCCTCCTCTTCCTCCCTCCTCCTCCTCCTCCTCCTCCTCCTCCTCCTCCTCCTCCTCCGCCCCCACTCCCCCTCCTCCTCCTCCTCCCCCTCCTCCTCCTCCACCACCTCCTCCTCCTCTTCCTTCCTCCCCTCCTCCTCCTCCACCTCGTCCTCCTCCTCCTCTTCCTCCTCCTCCTCCTCCTCCTCTTCCTCCTCCTCCTCTTCCTCCTCCTCCTCCTCCTCCATCCTTCATGTCCGATTCCTCCTCCTGCGCCCAGGCTGCCCTGTCCTCCTGGTTTATCGCCTAAGGCGGCCGTCCCTGCAGTCCGCTCTGGTGGTGGCGTCGGCGCCGCCCCCCGCCGCGTGCGGCACACCCCGGCGCCAAGTTGGGAACAGGCGCCCCAGACCTCGCCTCTCCTCCCGTCAGGCTGAGGGACAGGGAAGAGGAGTGGGAGCGAGGGACGGCGGAGGTGGCTTGGGAGGTGGACTTGGCCCGGAGGGGAGGAGGAGCAGAAGGGGCAGGAAGAGGCTTGACGGTCGACGACCCGCGCTGAGCAGCCGCCCCGACAGACGCGCGCCGCGAGAC